AACCTCTCCAAAAAAAAAAAAAAAAAATGCCGGGCGTATGTATGTGCATGCCCAAGATCCCAAGAGGAGAACGGAGGAGAAGGGATTGTGGCATGGCCATTTTCCCGGGGGGTGATTTCTCTTGCTTTCTGTCTCTCTGTCTGTCTGGAGAGCACATGCACCCTATAGCAAAAACCTCTCAAAAAAAAAAAAAGAGAAGTCACAAAAGTCAGGGACTGTAAGCTTAGCGGGTGGGGATTCAGAAGTCACACTGGTACTGTTTATTTCTATGGCTTTTGGATGTTTGCTTGTTTCGGTTGACAGGGCCCAGGCCAGCAGCTTATCCAGGCAGCCTGCGCATCCCTGGGAAGGAAGCTATTGGTGTGTTATCAACACAGCAGACACCACCTTAAGGGGGTAAGGAGCATGTGGTGGCTTGACGTGGGCAGCCTGTGTATTCCTCCAAGCTGGGATGGTCCAAGTCCCCACGATTTCTGTGTATAGGGTTGTCCAGTGTCTGGTCACTTGGAGGACCCGTGGTCCTCACACACACACAGTGGGGCTCCGTGGCACCTGGTTTATACATCTTCCTGGGGACGCCAGTCCAGTCTCTGCTCACGCCTCCACTGAGGATGGAAGGAAAGAGGACTTTTTAAAAGTGTGAACTCATGAGCTCTCCAGGAAGCGAGAGGAGGAAGCAGTGAGTCAGGTCTTAGGAAAAATAGAAGCCGTTCTCCTTCCCATCCTGGTTTGCCAACGCCGCAGTCCACCCCCAAGCCTTCATACTCCTAACTCCCTCTGGCTTCCCCTGCACAGTGTCAGCTCCACCTTCTCCAGGCCAAGGACAGAGTCAACTTCCCTTTCCCTGCACTCCCCTGCCCTGCCCTGCCCTGCTACTTCCTAGGTGGTGGCACCAATTCCCCGCAAAAGGGTCTTCCCCACTGGTCTGTGAGCGCCTTAAAAGCAGAGTCTGTGTCTGATTCTCTTCTCTTCCCTACTACCTCTCGGCATAGGGCAGCATCTTGACCTTAGCGTCAGGGAACTTGGGTAGGGGTGGGCAACTGAGGCAACAGCCCATTTGGGGCCCAAGTGGCCTTCTCTAGGAGGTCTCTGGCAGAAGCCTGTCACCAGGCTTCAGGGATGGAGGACTTAGCTCTGGCACAATGGAGCCTGAGCACCCTCCTACCCTGGGCAGAGAGACCTAACTCACCTTAGGCACTGCGTTTGGTCTCTCATAGACTCACAGGCCTTGTGAAAGGCAAATGAGATTCGTGGAATTGATGCCCCATTTAGGCTCCAGTACCTGCGTGTCAGAGAAGCTGCCACCCAAATATGAACTGTTCCACTTGTAGCTTGCTCAAGCACCCAGAGAACAAAAATGTGTCCCTCCTCCTGTCCAACCATCCATCCCATCATCAGGTGATCTTACTCCCCATCTGGTCTCTGGCTTCAGAGCCTGTCTCCCCAGTCTGAGACACATGCTGAGCAGAAAACATGTTAACTGAGACACTGGGATAAGCCCCGACCACTGGGAGTGGATCTGGAACAGCTCTGCAAGTAAGGCAGAGCCCAAGCAGCTCAGTCATGAAAACCAGAGGTGGCTCACCAGGCAGAGAGGGCTACGGGGGAGAGGAGGCGGGCTCTCTGAGGGAGCACTCAAGGGCCTGGGCACACAGAGGAAGACCGGAGCTCTCTGGTTTGTGTGTGTGTGTGTGTGTGTGTGTGTGTGTGTTTGTTTGTTTGTTTTTTTGAGAGGTTTTTGCTACAGGGCACATGCGCTTGCCAGAAAGACACAGACAGACAGAAAGAGAGAAATCACCCCCCAGGGAGGATGGCCATACAGCAATCCCTTCTCCTCCATTCTCCTCGGGATGTTGGGCACGCACGCAAACGCACCTCGTGTGAGTTTAAGCCACCGGGTCTGGGACTCGAACTGCAGACACTATATGGGAGTTCAGTGACACAGCCATTACACTAACTGCTGGTCCCAGAATTTGCAGTATTTTAAGACAGCACTTCGGGGCAGCACTGTAGGTGCCCCTCCCATCTCCCCATCCCTCTTTTCTGTAGGCAGGAATAATCTGTGCTGATAAGCAGGAGACCAAGGTTTGTGGATGCATGAACAGGGCCGATGCAAGGAAGAAACAGTAGTTAGGCCGACTCATTCCCAGGCTGGGGTTTCTTCAGCTGGGTCTGAGGAATGTGGGGAAAAAAGATGCCCAGGTCTCAAGTCCCAAGTCTCAACCCTGATAGGAGGAGGTCTTTAAAAAGTTCGAAAAAACATATACTATGAAAAAGAAACCATGCCTGGGTTTTAGGAGGATTTTTTTGTACCAAAATAAACCTGTACTTTAATTCCACTTGCTCCTTGAACTTTTGAAGTCCCCTTGCGTTCTCAGTTGTCAGGAGCAAGGTCCCACATCAGGAATTTTCTAACTTCCGGGAAGGATCTCACATGTAGCCAGAGCTGAGGATCACTGTCTCGGAGCTGTGTATTTTGACAAAGTTCCCCTGGGCTAACAATCAGCTCGTGGGTTCACTGAACGGTGCAGACAGGATGACCCAGTTGTTGGGTCTGAGAGAGGTGGAAGGAGCAGAAAGAATGCTGCTTACCTCTTCGGAGAGCACCAGAACCGGGTGCCCCGGGCTGAGCTCCACTCAGCATTGCACGGTGGAAACCTCTGTTTCTCTTTCAGTTGCTGTTTGTTTGCCTCCAAGCCTTTGGTGATCATGGTTTCCACCTGGGTCAGTTCTGGGGTAGGAAGCCCATCCTTGCCATAGAACCTTCCTATCACCCTTCCTGTAGCGAGAGGAAAGCTGTCAGATGACAGGGGCAGTCAGGCATGAACAGGCGCTTGGCTTCTTCAGCAGTTGCAGTAAAAGCTCAAGGTCTTCCAGCTGCCATCAGGGCTCTACAGTAGCCTTCTGGGTGCCTGTTTATTAAGAATTCACACTGGAGGGACTTCTGGCACTTTCTATCCCAACCCCTGTCAACATCCACCAGACTCAGGATGGAAGCATCCCTGATCTAATTGCTGCAGTACGGAAATGACTGAATCTTGCCCTGAAGGTGGAACCACGTATGAGTCAGTTCCCCATGTTCCACACTGTGAATATCTACACAGTAGGCAGTCGATAAATGCTTGAATAAATGGCTCATTGGCTAACATTTCTGCAGCTAAATTCTTCCCAACCATGAAATTATCGTCTTATATAAACAAGTAACTCACTGAGCATTTACTCAGTGTTGGGCATTATGCTAGCACTTTATCTTTGTTTCTTTAATTCCTACAGGACACATACACTCTCTAAAGAGAGAGAGAGAGGAAAAGGAAAAGTGAGAAAGCACTGGGCCATCAGGTGGCATGGTGGTTAAAGGTGCTGGACTCCCACATGGCTGACCATGGTTCAAGTCCTGAACCTGGTGACACATTCTCTTTCTCTCTCTCTCACACTGTTTTGCTCTGGTCAAATTGAAAATAGTAATAATGATGATAAAGAAAACTGAGTAATTCTTTTTTTAAAAAGTGAGAAAACACCCCATTGAAGATGGTCACACTGCCTTCCTTTCACCTCTGTTTCTCCACTTTCAGGATTTTGGACATACCCGCACATGTGCCTGGCATGTTTTATCAAGCCACCAGGTTGGGACTCAAACCACACAGTTAGCCATGTGGAATCCAGCCACCTTAACCACCAAAATACTGGCTGGCCCTATCAATATATTTATTTTTTAATTATTTAATTTTATTATTTAATTTGCTATAGCACACACGCATCGAGAGAAAGTGAGAAAGTAAGCTGCTAAGTCAGGGACTTGAACCAAAGTCAGCCAGGTGTGAATCCAGCACCTTAACCACCATGCCACCTGCTGTCCCCCATCGGTATTTATAAATCTTTTTTTTTTTTTCGGAGAGGTTTTCACTGTAGGGCACGTGCGCTCGCCAGACAGACAGAGACATAGAGACAGAAAGCGAGAAATCACCCCCCAGGGGGGATGGTCACGCCGCAATCCCTTCTCCTCCATTCTCCTCTCGGGATCTTAGGCATGCACGCACACGCGCCCGGCGTGAGTTTTAAGCCACCGGGTCCGGGACACGAATCGCGGTCGACTACGCGGGAGTCCAGCAACAGTCATTACGCTAACTGCTGGTTCCCGGTATTTATAAATCTTTACAACAAACCTGTGCAAGAGAAATCACTGTTCCCATATTCATAGCAGACAGGGAGATGAAATAGCTTACAGTCTACAAAGCGAGTAATGGCTCTAAGCATGCGTTCTTTCCTCTACCACTCTCTTCTGGCTCAGACCATCAGTGGACATAAGTGAGTGGATGCAGGGAGTGGCCAGATCTGGACAAGGCACCAGTGACCTTTAAAGCAGATATGGTCTTGTGCTGACGCTGCAGGGCAAGTGAAAGCTCTAACAAAGACATAACCTACAGTTGCACGGCAGGGTAGTGTAAATTAAAGGAAGCTGAGTGTCAGCCAGAGAAGGCCAGGAGAGACTTGTCTAGAACAATGGGATGCGAGATGCTCCACAGCTATAGTCGACAACAGGAAATACCTGGCTCTACCTTCCATTTCTCCCTCCCCCATTGCTCTATAAAAGAATAAACCTGGGAACAGCTCAGGGCCATGGCAATCTCCACGAGAGCTGCTCGGTCCTCCCAACCCCTGCGTTTCTCTACCTGTGTGTCCTTTCTGCATTCACTGCCTCTCCCACTTGAGGTCCCAGCCCATGCCTTGCAGGCCAAGGCAGGTGGAGTCCGATGTGGACGAATAAACGAACATAAGTACGGGAGAACTACAAAGGATAAAGCCACTGGACACTCCTGAATTCAGGCCCAGAACTGAAAGGTGAGGAGTGGATTAGAGTCGGGTGTAAAACATGGGGACAAAGTTGTCTAAAGAGAGAGGTATGTATGTCCAAAAGTTGTTTTATATGTTAAAAGCTAGGGTAATGAACTTAGTACGAAGCAGTTGCATTGATCCCTAGACTTTGTATAGGAAACACGCCCCTGGTTCCTGGAACAGGGACTGTTACATGATGAACCTGGGACAAGGTCGGAGAACAAATTAGGCTACGATGTACAGTAGAGAGACCAGGCAATTTTCCTATTTTTGCTTTCTCCTTATGGAATTTAATTAATGAGTGTTTGAGGCGAGAACCTCCGGAAGAGCTGGGATGTTGCTTGGTAACTCGATTAATAGATACCCAGGACAGAGACACTTCCTTGCTGCCTGGAGAGCCAGGAATTGGTCCTGAAATAGGAGATAGCAAAGCAGCAGTGGTTAGTGAAGATGGCAGACTCCCAGATCTAGACAGACGTAAAATTGTGGTTCCTGACAGACTTAAGTTTAAAAAGGACAAGGAAGCCTTAGCCCCTTGGCCCCGCGCCCCCGCAGGAAGACCCACCGCTCCTCTTTTAGAGCCCCCAGCAGGGGGGAGAGCACGAGGAAAGGATGATTTCCTCTGCATTAACCCCTCTTCAGAGAGTGTTGTGGTGTGGCAGAGAGAGGGGAACACATCTCAGGACTTAACATGTCTGGTCATGGAGGTTCCAGATTCTAATAATACGCCAATACAAACAATATGCCAGCATGAGCCCGGGTCCTTTAAAATTCTAAAATAATTTAAAATGGCTTGCGTGCAGTATGGCCCTGTGGCACCTATCATATAAGCAACAGCTGTATTAGAAACAGCTACTCAGCGCTTTCGCCTCATGATTGGCAGGTTAGGCAAGGCACGTGTGGCTGGAGGTGATTATCTTTTTATGGAAGGCAGATTGGTTTGAGGAAGCCCAAGAACAGGCAAATCGAAACCAACAACATGCAGTACCTATCACATTTGAAGTATTGACGGGGACACGTGACTTCGATATTGTCAATCAGCTTGAATACTCCCTACAAATGTATCAGCAAATAGAATCTGTTTGAGGTGTTAGACTTCCAGGAAAAGACAGAGGGTCAGGTGTGAGCTCTACCGAGACTGTGTATCGGGTTTGGCATAAGCCATAGGGTGAGTGATTTCTGACCCAGAAGCAGGACAAATTTTGTTAAAACAACTGGCTTTCGAAAATGTTAATGCTCCCTGTAAGGCTGCCATTACCCCATAAACTCAAAGGCATATCAAAGAAAACATAAGGCTGAAACTGTCCTGTGTGACCCTCCTCATCTGTCCAAGTAAGAATAGCAGAACTCTTTGGTACTGAATTAATATCCTACCCCTTCCACTTCCACTGAAGAGCCAGTAAATCCACAGGGCCAGTGCTTCAGAACTATTACTGAAACATCGGTGCCAGTCTCTAAAAGTACCTAAAATTTTCTTATATGGTTAGCGTGTACGTGGGTCGAGCTTCTCAAAAAGCCTGAAGGAGGCAGGCCTGATCTTGATCTGAGGATCCAAACCCTCGCTGTCCTGCAGGCTCTGGAGTCAATACGTGTCCTTTATAAAGCCCTCCTTTACCTGTGACACGAATGATGCTGACCCAGCGCCTTCTACCATTTCCGAGTCTGAGAAAAATGGCCTGGGGCCAATGACACCATATACCAACATTTCAAAAATTTAGACAACTCTGATGCAAAGTTCAGACAGGGGCCTTGGTAGATGCTCCAGTCACTAGGACTGCTGCTCCAATAAACTGACTTTCAGAGGAGCCTGTCTGGGTTGACCGATGGCCCCTAACTGGGAGAAAATAGGGGCAGCTAGATAACTTGCTCAAGAACAGCTAAAATTAGGACACATTGAGCATTCTCTTTGTCCTTTGACCTCTTCTATTTTTGTCATCCAGAAAAAATCTGGAAAATGGAGGTTGTTATAAGACCTGAGAAAAGTCAATGCCACTATGCAAGTAATGGGACCACTGCAGTCTGGTCTTCCTAGTCCTACAGCCATTCCTCTCCACTTTCATTTGACTGTATTAAATCAAAATTTAGACAACTCTGATGCAAAGTTCAGACAGGGGCCTTGGTAGATGCTCCAGTCACTAGGACTGCTGCTCCAATAAACTGACTTTCAGAGGAGCCTGTCTGGGTTGACCGATGGCCCCTAACTGGGAGAAAATAGGGGCAGCTAGATAACTTGCTCAAGAACAGCTAAAATTAGGACACATTGAGCATTCTCTTTGTCCTTTGACCTCTTCTATTTTTGTCATCCAGAAAAAATCTGGAAAATGGAGGTTGTTATAAGACCTGAGAAAAGTCAATGCCACTATGCAAGTAATGGGACCACTGCAGTCTGGTCTTCCTAGTCCTACAGCCATTCCTCTCCACTTTCATTTGACTGTATTAAATCTTTTTTTTTTTTTAAGAACTATTTTTATTTTAACTTCCTCCCTCCCTTTCTTTCTTTTCCTCCTTCCCTCTTTTCCCCTTTCCTCCTCAATTTGATTAGATTCCTTGATTTTCACATTAGGAAACATCAGTTGGATGCAATCCAGTTTAAAGCTAACCACTGGTCAACTGCTACCACTTTCTGCCATCTTAAAAGGAGATCTGCACCCTGCTTCTCTTTGGGAGCTCACCTCAGAGGGTAGGATAGCTCTTGAATTAGTAGAACTAGCCAATCAAAAATGGCTGCTTGTCACGGGTGAACAAGACTTGCCTATCCTAATCTCAACCTCACGTACACCCACTGGGGCCACTTGGCAACCTCAGGGGATCCTTGAATGGTTCTATCTTCGATCATCTCCTGCACTGTCTCTTACCCCATTTTCTACAGCAGAGCTGCAGTTACCATTAAAGGAAGAAGATGCATGGCCCAACTATTAGGACATGAACCTCAATCTATCATAGTTCCTTTCTCCAAAGAAAAATGGCACGCACTATGGCAATTAGATTTTTTTAAAGAATATTTATCTTTTTATTTAGTTTAATTTGACCAGAGAGGGACAGCGTGAGTGGGGTGTGTGTGGGGGAGCAAGCCACTAGGTCCAGTACTTGAACTGTGGCTAGCCATGTGGGAGTCCAGCACCCTTAACCACCATGCTACCTGACAACTAGATCTTGATTGGTAAATAGCGTTTGTGAACTTTTCCGGATGTGTTGTCATTACCCTTCAGACCCTATTATACGCCTTGTACTACTACTTTTGCTATTCCCGAAGTAATCTCACCTATTTAAAATGCTGTAATTGCATTTACTAGCAGTGGGCACACAGGATACTGGTCACAAAAGTCATGTAACCTGTCTTGCTCTCAGTGTGCACAACTTTGCGCTATGGAAACTGCCTTAACAGACTTCCCATATCAGGCTGTAAATATCTATTTGGACAGTTTTTATGTAGCCTCAGTTATTAAAACTGAAACTGCTATTCTCAGTAATATGTCACAGGAAAGTCTTTATGCTTTTCTGCAAATCCAAAATCTGTTACAAAATGAAAATTCCCATTCTTCAGTGGTCACATAAAAGCTCATTCTAATCTCCCTTGAGCCTTTTCTTTTGAAAACCACCAAGCTGTTATCTCAAACTCCTGAAGATCGGGCTAAACACTCACATAATCTTTTTCACCAAAATGCTGCTGCCCTGCACAAACACCTATCACTAGACAACAGGCATGAGACACTGTCAAAAATTGTCTGAACGATTTCTTTTCTTCCCTCTCTTTGGGAGTTAACCCCAGAGTTCAGCCCTCAATCACATTTGGCAAATGGATGTAACTCATTATTCCTCTTTGGGAGACAAGGTTACTTACATGACACTGTCGATTCCTATTCAGGTTTCATTTGTTTCTCCTTTGACAGGAGAAGCAGCCAAACATGTTATCACACATTGCCTCGCAGCAATAGCAGTATTGGGAAAACCAAGATATATAAAAACTGACAGTGGTCCAGCTTACACTAGAGTAAAGTTTTTTAGCAATTTTGTGACACTTTCCATGTTCTTCATACTACAGGTATACCTTACAATCCTCAAGGTCAAGCAATAGCAGAAAGGGTCAACCAGCAATTACAAACAACATTAGAGGGGCCAGCAGGTGGCGTGGTAGTTAAGGGTGCTAGACTTCCACATGGTCGACCACAGTTCGAGTCTTGAACCTGGAGGCTTGCTTGCTTTCTCATTCTCTCTCTCTCCTCCTCAATAAGTTAAATAAAATAATCCTTTAAATAAACACACACACACACACACACACACACAATTAGAAAAAGAAAAAGGGGGAAACAGGTAAGTTTTTTGACTACCACTTGCTTCATAGCTGTGGAAATTCATTATTAAGAAATAGAAAAAGCTAGACTTTGATATGCAAAGTAGAAAGATCTCAGTTCAAGGAGAGTGAAAGGGACCTGACCCAGTGTTAGTGTGGGTTCGAGAGTATGCTTGTATTTTTCCAGAATCATCGCTAATCAGTGTGAGTTCTAGCTCGACTCATGAGACCACTTGATGATGGAACAACTAGAGGACAAGCCGCTAAAACAGATACAGAAGAGGATGCAGGACCTGAATCTGGACAAAGTACCAAAGAAAGCAAAGAAAAAGTAAGGTGGGATCAACACAGGTGGTCCAACCCTCTCCCCCAATATGAGGACAGATTAAATATCCAACCAAGAAAGAGCAATTAGTAAAAGGCCAAAGAGCACCAGTTACAGCTACTCCATTATTTTTGGCCAGGATAAGTATATTGACTACACAGTCTGCAGAATCATCCAGGGAAAACTCCACATAGCAGCTATCAAGCTCCATGAACTTGAGTTAGAAAAAGGAAGAGGGGGAGATGTAGGGAGCAGCCAGATCTGGACAAGGCACCAGTGACCTTTAAAGCAGATGTGGTCTCGCCTGGCGCGTGTGCGTGCGTGCCCAAGATCCCGAGAGGAGAATGGAAAAGAGATTGTGGCATGACCATCCCCCCTGGGGGGTGATTTCTCGCTTTCTGTCTCTATGTCTCTGTCTGTCTGGCGAGCACATGCGCCCTATAGCAAAAAAAACCTCTCAAAAAAAAAAAAAAAAAAGTAGATGTGGTCTTTGTGCTGATGCTGCAGGGCAAGTGAAAGCTCTAACAAAGACATAACCTACAGTTGCACTGCAGGGTAGTGTGAATTAGAGGAAGCTAAGTGTCAGCCAGAGAAGGCCAGGAGAGGATTATCTAGAACAATGGGACACAAGATGCTCCACAGCTGTAGTCAACAACAGGAAATACCTGGCTCTACTTTCCATTTCTCCCTCCTCCATTGCTCTATAAAAGAATAAACCTGGGATCCACAGAGGACGTAATGGTTATGTCACTGGACTCCCACATAGTCGACCGCAGTTCGATTCCAAGACTCAGTGTCTTAAAACTCATGCTGGACTCATGCTGTCTGTGGCCAAGATCCCAAGAGGAGAATGGAGAAGGGACTGCAGTATGGTCATTCTCCTTGAAGGGAAGGGGGTGATTTCTCGCTTTCTGTCTCTGTGTCTCTGGTGAACGCATGTGCCCTATAGCAAAAACCTCTAAAATAAATAAAATACCTGTCAGAATTTTTAAAAACTTAAGTTCTGGCAACAGCCAATGAATGGTCCATGAACCTACTGGCCAGAAGCAAGAAAAGATCAGTTCTTCTTAGGTGCAGGGCCATTAATTATCCAGGTCCTTCTCAGGCTGTACCTGCTAGGGCAAAGTGGCAGAAAGTGCTTCCAGGAGGCTTGCCCAAGTAGAGGTGGCAGTTCCTGCCTGCCCCCAGTGGTGTGGCTCCCACCTCTGCAGGCCTGAGAGCGGACTTGAACCTGGAATCCAATGGCACATACGTTCGAACGTGTCCAAGACTTATTTCATGCTGTCAAGCCCAACTCCCTCCCTGATTTCCCAAATGCTGTTTGTTACCTCGGGCCTGCTATCTGATTGGGAGCACTGCATTTCTCTCCTCTTTCACATCCAAATGTACACATCTTTTTGTTCATGTCTAATCCAGAGCAAATCTTATCAGTTTCACCTCTAAAACATCCTGATGTTTTTTTTCCTTCCCATTTCTACTGCTACTACCCTCAACCAAACCACGGGCTATGACAATAGCCTTCCAACTGGTCTCTGCTTCAGCTCACACCTTCCTGTGGTTCCTTTTCCACAAAGCTGCTGATGTAATCTTTTAGAGAGAATCATTATCCTGTCACTTCTAGGCTAATCAAAACCCACCAATGGCTTCCTAAAGCATGCAGATAAAATACGAACTTCTTATCAAGGCCTCTAAGGCTCTATAACCATCTGACTTCTTTGCTTTGACCGTCATCAAACCACTTCCTCCCTCATTATTGTGGGCCCCAGCACGTTGGTTTCCTTTGTGTTCCTTGGCCAGACCTTGCTGCTCCCACTGCAGACACTGTTGTTCCCTCAGTCTGGAATGCTCTTCCCAGGTCTCAGTAGGGCTGTTTGCTTTTCACCTGCTGAGTCTCAGCTTACCTGTCATCCTCTCCAAGAGGCTCCCCTGACCATCTGCTTCTAAAGGGGCCACACCTCCAAGCACATATCACATCAGACCTTTATTCATAGCCCTATTTCCAGTGGTCTGGTATGCTTATTTATGATGTGTCTCCCCTGCAGCCCTCAAAACAGCTTAGTAAAAAGCATTCATTTTAAATTCCTAAAATTCATTCATTTAAATAACTTGTCTATGAGCTGGCCTTGTACAGAACTTTGTGCTGAAGTGGGACTCTGTATTACATGGTATGACAAGCCTGCCTTGGTGAGTTTTAGACATGAGACCCAAAGAGCAGACAGAAGTAGAAGCAGCAGCAGAGAGAGTTCTAGAAGCTGCCTTCTAGAATGGGTCCACGAGAATGGACCCATCAGTACTGGCTGGGTACCCAAACCAGTTCTGTACCCAGAACACAACAAAAACCACCTCAGGCCAGTCCATGGCATGGTAGTTAAGGTGGCTGGATCCCATGTGGCCAACTACATGGTTCAAGTCCCAGACTCAGTGGCTTGTAAAACATGCTGGGTGTGTGTGCATGCATGCCCAACATCCCAAAAGGACAAAGAGATGGAGAAGGGACTGCGACATGACCACGCTCGATGCTCCAAGTGCTTTCTCATTTGACTCTCTCTGCCTCTCTGCAAGTTCATGTGCCCTCTGGCTAAACTAAGAAAACAAAAGCTATCTCATTTTCCCTTGCAGTCTGGCTAAGCGGCTGCCAATATGATTTCCTGACCATCTTCCCTTTAGTGTGCACTTTTACAATAACCCTGCATCCTCTGATGTGTCCTGAAGGTTCCTGGTGACCTAAGCCTAACATGACCCACTCTCCCATCCTATAGAATAAGTCAGCAGAGAGCAGGAACCATGCTCAACTCGTTGCTAGTCCCCACAAGGACCAGACCCAGAACTTACCAAAAGTAGATAGTCAAGGGACCAGCAAGTGGCGTGGTGATTAAGGTGCTGGACACTCCCACATGGTTGACCACGGTTTGAGTCCTGGACCTGGTGGCTTCCTTTCTCACTTTCCCCTCTCTCTCTCTGTGTCTCTCTCTGGTCAAATTAAAAATGAATGAATGAATAAATAAAATAAATCTTTTTTAAAAAAGTAGATAGTCAAATATATCCTGATTTTTAAAAATATAATTTTGGGGACCAGCAGGTAGTGTGGTGGTTAAAGCACTGGACACTCCCACATGGCCAACCATGGTTCAAGTCCTGGACCTGGTGACTTGCTTTCTCTTTCTCTTGCTCTCTGGTCAAATTAAATAAGTTACATTAAATAATTCTTTAAAAATTATTTAATTGTATTAATATTTTTTAATTTGCTATAGGACACATGTGCTCACCAGAGAGAGAATAAGAAAGCAAACCACCAGGTCCAGGGCTCGAACTGTGGTTGGTCATGTGGGAGTCCAGCCCCTTAATCGCGGTGCCAACTGCCAGCCCAGTATATTCTGACTTACACTAAAATCCTCCTGAGGCATTTCTGAACACAAATCCCACCCCAGCACATTACACCATGCTCAGATGAGGCTTGTCCACTCATCTCACCACACACATCAGGAACACCAAGTTTGCTCCCCAAGTCTTAGTATGAAGTATTTGGTCTGGCGTTTTGTTCACGCAGAGGATTCCATTCTTATTCATCTGTGTCGTGTTTTCTTCTCTGTACTAATGTTTCAGGAACCAGCAGTTGGCACAATGGCTATGTCACTGGACTTCCATGTAGCCGACTGTGGTTCAAGTCCTGGACTCGGTGGGTTTAAATCACGCCAGGCGTGTGTGCTCCTGAGAGGAGAATGGAGGAGAAGGGATTGCAGCATGGCCATCCCCCCTGGGGGTGATTTCTCACTTTCTGTGTCTTTCTGGCGAGCACAAGTGCCCTACAGCAAAAATCTCTCAAAAAAAAATTTTTTTTTTTTTTGGAGAGTTTTTTTTTGCTATAGGGCGCGTGCGCTCGCCAGATAGACAGAGAGAGACATAGAGATAGAAAGTGAGAAATCACCCCCCAGGGGGGATGGCCACACCACAATCCCTTCTCCTCCATTCTCCTCTCAGGATCTTGGGCACACACGCACATGCGCCCGGCGTGAGTTTTAAGCCACTGGGTCCGGGACACAAACCGCGGTCGACTACATGGGAGTCCACCGACATAGCCATTACGCTAACTGCTGGTCCCTCTCAAAAAAATTTTAAAACTTGATTTGGCAACCTCGTGGGAGAAAGCAAGAACCAAGCCAGATGGATAGAGGTCAGTTCCTTTGATAGCAGACATGGTTGTTTCAGAAATAATCTGGGGTAGACTGAGGAAAAACACAGAGGGACATACAAAGGCTAAAAATGGATGGGGTAGATATTAGAAATGGAAAGACACAAACTTTAGATGGTAGGAAAAAAGCCTTGGGCTGGTCCCACGGCCTAGTATCTAAGGGAGCTGGATTCCACATTACTGACTGTGATGTTTGAGTCCCAGATCTGGTGGCTTGAAAAGTATTGTGGGCATGTGTACCCAAATCCTGAAAAGATATAGAAATAGATTGCCCTGTGACCATGTCCTATTGTGGGGTGCTTTCTCCCTCTCTGTCCTCTGTTTCTGTATGGCAAGTGCACACTCCTTTTGGCAAAAGTAAAAGAAAAAGCCTGGAACATTATTTTTTTTGGAGAGGTTTTTGCTATAGGGCACATGCGCTCACTAGAAAAACAAAGGGAGACAGAGAGACAGAAAGTGAGAAATCACCCCCTAGGGGGGATGGCCACCGCAATCCCTTCTCCTCCATTTTCCTCTTGGAATCTTGGGCACGCACGCACACGCGCCCGGCGTGAGTTTAGTGAGGGGACAGTAGGTGGTGTGGTGGTTAAGCCCCTGGGTCCAGGACTCAACCACGGTCGACTACATGAGAGTTCAGCGACTTAGCCATTACGCTAACTGCGGGTTCTTTGACCATTTTTTTTTAGAGGTTTTTGCTATAGGGCACATGCACTCGCTACAAAGACTGAGACAGAGAGATAGTAAGTGAGAAATCACCCCCTAGGGGGGATGGCCACCGCAATCCCTTCTCCTCCATTTTCCTCTCAGGATCTTGGGCATGCATGCGCATGCAGTCAGCATGAGATTAAGCCAGCAGGTCTGGGACTCAAACTGCAGTCGACCACGTGGGAGTCCAGCAACATAGCCATTTTGCCAGATGCTGGCCCCAAGCCTTGACCATTTGGTTGTGGAGGGAGCAGAGGAATTATTCATAGTAAAAACTGCTGAGGTTCTCAGAAAAGGTAACCCAGCAGCAGCAGCAATGGGAGAAGCAGAAATTCAGTGGCATCAGGGCGGGGAAAAGACCTCTTCTAATGGCTTTAACAAATGTTTAACTGCATTAGGTCCACCTGGGAGCTCACTCGGGGTGGGCACAGACTAATGTTTATCTCCCCAGAGGACAAAATAAAAGGCACTTTGTCAAAACAGCACATACTGTTAGGTTGTAAGGCTTCCTGGCTATGTGAGAAGTCAAATGCCTGGAACACAGTAAGAAAGGGAAGCAGCCCTCCTGGAAGTAGAAAGGCAACCCCTGGCTCGTGAGCTGCTAAGGCCAAAGTACATGGCTTGGCAATCCTCTCCCAAGGCCAAGGGTGAGGAAGAGGTGTCCACCCATCACCTTTGGGGCTCACTGTCACACTAACTACCACTAAATTTAAAATAAAATCCAGGGCTATTTTTCAGATTTTAACCTTGAACTCAATTCCTGAAGAATCTCAGCCCCTTTAAAAAAAAAAAACAAGATAACCAAATGAAGTCTATACAAATGACCTATGGACTACATACCAACAGACACATAATTCTTCTCATAGAATAAAAGCCAAGTTTGAAGTGTCAGCATGTCAGAGGATGACAGATCAGATACATCATCCACAAGGCCGGCTTCGGAGTAGTCCCCGGTCACAAAGGCTCTGGATGCATCCCGGCCTGCAGGAGAGAAGTTCCCAATAGTACCACGTAAATCACAAGTGCTGTACCAACTCGAGAATCTAGTTTCTGAGAGACATCAGACCATCTCTACACGCCAGCCCCAGGGAAATGTAATCCTCCTCCTCTGTGACAGGTGCTTCTGGACCTTGGACATATGTTATCTTTGGCATCTATCACCTTTCATATACTTTCAGCAACATTTAGCATAGCTGACCACTTCCTTTGGCTTTTATTTTATATATATGTACATATATATAAATTTGTCACAGGGTATGTGTGCTTGCTGGAAAGAGAAAAAGGTGAAAAAACATCCCTCAAGGGGATGGCCACTACACAACTCCTCCTCCTCCTCCATTCTCCTCTCGAGATTTTGGGAGGGCACATATGTACACATGCCACACATGGTTCAAGATGCTGGGTCTGGGGCTTGAACCATGCAGTTGGCCCTGTGGGATCCAGTTACCTTAACTACCATACCACTGGCTAATCCTCCTTTAGCTTTTATGATGGTACATTCCTGGTTTTCCTCTTACCTCTCTAGCTTTTCATTATCTACCAGCCTGAGGGATCAATTATTGTCCACTATCTTTGCTCCATTCACACCCTCTCCCTTGAGTCTTGTTTTCTGTCTGTCTGTTTTTCCTTCTGAGGACAAACCACAATCCTCACCCAGTCCTCCCAGCCAGCCAGGATCATGGGTGCATGTGCCTGGTATGCACAGGTCTACCTGGAAACTGAACCCATGATCCTTCCTATGGATCCAGTGTTGCTTGAGCAGTGTACCACTGCTATGCTGAGCCAGCTTTCATATATCCATTCCAGTGTTGTTTTTTTTTTTTTTTATTTATTCATTAAGTTTTAATTTGACAGAGAGAAAGAGGGGAAGTGAGAAAGCAAGGCATGAGATCCGGGACTCAAACTGTGGTCAGCCATGTGGGAGTGTCCAGAACTTTAACCACTATGCCACCTGCTGGTCCACTCGTGTTTTTTTAATCCCACCTCCATGCCAAAGATCGCCAAATGTGGATCTTCAGTTCAGATTTCCCGAGCACCAGACCTGTATATCCAATTACCTATTCAACATCACTTAGATGCCTTACAGACATCACAGGTTCAAAATGTCCACATTCAGCTGTTAGCAGCAGCTCCAGCCAACCTGCATCTACTCTCATATATTCTGTACTGCAGTAAATCCCAAACACCTGCCATCCAGGAACATAGTTCTTCATACCTCCTTCATCCCTCACATCTAATCAGTCCCTAAATCCTGTATTTTCTCCCTTAATACAGTCTTGTGCCACATATATGATGGGGGTCCTATCAGATGAATAACAGGCAGGCCAGCCAGTGCCATGGTGATTAAGGTGGCTGGATCCTTCATGGCAGACTGCACAGTTCAAGTCCCAGGCTGGGTGGCTTGAAAAACATGCTAGACATATGTATGTGCATGCAAAATCCCAAGAGGGAGAAAGGGATTGTGGTATGACCATCCTCCTTGGGGGAAGGGGTGCTTCCTCACTTTCCCTCTCTGGCAAGCACAAATGTCCTATGGCAAATTTAAAACAAAGGATTGTAAAAGGCTGTACCATATGGTCTCAGTGTGTAGGTTAGACCATCTAGGTTTGTGTAAGTGCATGCTATGATTTTTGCACAAAAACACAAACCAATTAATGATGCACTAATGCATTTCTTAGAACATAGCTCTGATGATAAGTGATGCATGATTGCAGTTCTTCCATCAGTCTACCTGTTGCCACCTACTATTAAAGCAAGCCAAGGCGGCCATCATCTCTCACTTGAACTACTATAGTAGACCCCCTAGTGGGTAGTCAATTAGATGCTGAAGCCTGGATGTCAGACACTGCAACGTTTATCAAATTGTCCCCTCCAAAAATCAGAGAAATTATATGATGCCAGTCATTTTCACATCCTCAGATGATTTACATCCAAAAACAACTGGCTTTGCATTCCAATTTCTCCTCCCTTATTCTCTTTATATTCCACTTCCTTCTTCCCCATTCCTTTTACATCCCATTTTCCCCTTCCCCCATTCTCTGCCCCTTAAAAGAATAAACCTGAGGCTAGTTTTGGTCACAACTTCTCCATCAGAGAAGCTGTGCCTACCCAGTCCTTGCTCTTCTATACTTGTGTGTCTTTGTGTGTTTCGTTATCACGTCTATTTCTAATCCACAGCCTTCCCCACTGAGAGAAACGTGTTCATGCTAAACTAGTCCCGGCAGTCAGACACTGCACCTGCTTTTTAAATGGTGGGCCAGGAATTGAACCCAGGCCCCCCATGTGGCCCTAGCCTGCCAAGTAGCAGCATTCAGCACACACTACTAGGGCTGGGTGTAGACTGTTATTTTAAACACCGAGTAGGTATGTCATCACTGCCAAAAAATCTGCAGCAGCTTCCCTTTGCCCTGTGATAATACCCAAATTCCTGGGTATGTCATTCAGTGCCATGCGCCAGACATCTCCAACCTTGCCTTGCCCCTTTCTTTACTGTTCACTGTGCCTCCGCCTCTCCCACTAGATTAGGACCTCTGTTAATACCAGTATTTTTACCTTTTTCTTTTTTTAAAGAATTATTTTATATAAATAAATAAATAAAGATGCTCAACATCATTAGGCACTAGTGAAATGCAAAGAATCAAAACCACAATGCAGGGACCAGCAGATGGTATAACAGTACTATTGCTGGATTCCCGTGTAGTCAACTGCGGTTCCAGTCCTGGACCTGGAGGTTTAAAACTCACGCCAGGAGTGTGTGTGAATGCGCCCAGGATCCCAAGAGGAGAATGGAAAAAAAGGGATTGCAGCCTGGCCACACTCTCAAGGGGTGATTTCTCACTCTCTGTCTCTCTGGCAAGCACATGCGCTCTATAGCAAAAAAATCAACAACGTAAAACCACATCAAACCCACTAGGATGTCCATAAAAAAGATACTAACTTTTGGTGAGGATGTAGAGAAATTTTAAGTCTAATACATTCTTTTTTTTTTTGGAGAAGTTCCTGCTATAGGGCGTGTGTGCCCTCCAGAAAGACAGAGAGACAGAGACAGAAAGCAAGAAATCACCCTCTGGCAGGATGGCCACACTGCAATCCCTTCATTCTCCTCTCGGGATCTTGGGCATGCACACACATGTGCCCAGAGTGAGTTTAAGCCACCATGTCCGGGACTTGAACCGCGGTTGACTACATGGGAGTCTAGTGACATAGCCATTACACAAACTGCTGGTCCCATTCTTCACAAGAATATACAATGATGCAGCCACTTTAGCAAACAATTAGGCAGTTTCCCAAAACCTTAAACATAAGAGTTATCATGTGACCCAGCAATTCCACTCCTAGGCATATACCCAAGGAAACTAAAAACATGTTCATGCAAAAATTTATATACAAATATTTGTAGCAACATGAATAGGCAAAACTGGGAGAAAAAAAAAAAAGTCCATCCACCAATATTATAAAATGTGGTGTTATATCTACAAAATAAATGGAATATTATTTGGCCATGAAAAGAAATTAAGTACTGATACACCATAGATAAATCTCGAAAACATTATGCTAAGAAGCCAGCCCCAAAAGACCACATGTGTGATTCTATTTATATGAAATGCTTAGAATAGGCTAACCTACAGAAACAGTGGTCGACAGGGACTATGGGGAGGAGAGAATGGGATAAGACTGCTTATGGATTTGGATTTTCTTTTGGGGGTTATGAAATGTTCCGGAATGAGGGAGTGGTGATGTTTGCATGTTTCTGACTATTAAAAACTACTAAGTTGGAGATCAGTAGTTGGCGTAATGGCTATATCGCTGGATTCCCATGTAGTCGACCATGGGATTGTGGCATGGCCATCCTCCTGGAGGAGTGATTTCTCACTTTCTCTCTCTCTCTCTCGTTAAGTCCATGTTCCCTATTATCAAAAATCTCTCTTAAAAACAAGGTCTAATTTTATGTTATTTGAATTTATATCCCAATAAAAAATAAACAGATTGAATGAATAGATGAATGTACCTGCTTCCCTACTAGACTTGTGGGCAGTAGGATGCACTTTATATACATCTTTGCGTATTTTTGTATGCATCTTTGTAATTTTATATATATTTTTGTAATTTTTTTCAACACCTGGTACAAGGTAGGACACATGACAGTGGTCAGTAAATGGAGGTTGAATGAATATCGAGCACACAGGAACTCAGCAGACAGTACAGCATGTTATAAAGTAAAATCACCCCAGAAATGGAAGGCTTTATGGCCACACTTGTGGACGCATCCATAACTGTATCAGCGTATGGCTGGACAATTTACCAAAAAGGGCCCTCAACTGGCAAGCAGAACCCTGATTCCAGGTTTGATCCCCCTTTCATTGGAGAGGTTTTTGCTATAGGGTGCATGCGCTCGTCAGAGAGAGAGAGAGACAGAGAGACAGAAAGAGAGAAATCACCCCCCGGGGGGGATGGCCACGCCACACTCCCTTCTCCTCCAGTCTTCTCTCGGGATTTTGGGCACGCACACACACGTGCCCAGTGTGAGTTTAAGCCACTGGGTCCAGGACTTGAACTGTGGTCTGCGACATGGGAGTCTAGCGAAATAGCCATTACGCCAACTGCTGGTCCCCAGGTTTGATCTCCTTCTCTGTTGTCCCCTCCCCTGCTGGACGGTATGAGCAGCTTGGCAAGATCAATGGAATAACTCCTTCTCTGGCAATGCTTCTATTTCTGAAGTTCTCCCAGGAGACAGGGAAGTGACTTGTATTTAAGTGCCAGAGGCAGCTTCCCACTTCCCCTAAGATCATGACAAGTGGAAAATATGCCTTTGCTATCAGTCACTAGCCTTAGGCTTGCTTTTAATTGTTTTCCTTTTTTTAAGAATTATTTTATTTGACTTTATTTATTTTTATTTGACCAAAGAGGGACAGAGTAAGAGAGAGAGAAAGTGAGAAAGCAAGCCACCAGGTTTAGGACTCAAACCATGGTCGGCCATGCACGAGCCCAGCGCCCTTAACCACCATGCCACCTGCCTGCCCTCTTTTTTCCTTTTAAAATTGGTAAAGTGGTCAGTTCCTAGGCTGGTCAGGCAACATCTCAAAGCACTAGTCCTTGCCCTGACAGTACTTAATTGTGAAGGTTTTCGGCAAATACCCTTCAATCTCTTCAGCTATAAAATGGGGACAGCAGAATAAACTTAATTTACCAAAAGTCCCTTGAGGCCTAACATATGCACAGTTTTGTTCTAAGTACTCAAGGACTATATCGCTGGCTGGGCCCCTTTCCTGTGCTTTAACCTCATCTTTTTAAAGGGAGACAAGCATATTGATATTAGAAGCAAAAACAACTCAAACCAAATAAAATACTATTTTTAGGGGAAATTTGAGGAGGATGTTAGATTATTTCGGATCAGGGAATACTGAAAAGATGGTTGGAGTCAGCAAGGGAAGAGTGACGGCAGGGATGAGTCTCATCTCAGTGCTCTGAAGTGTGACACAAACAAGCATCCTCGGGCTTCCGACGCTGGTTAATGAACAAGGGACAGTAAAACATGGTTCTCCAACGTAAGTCACACAGAGAGGTGGGGAAAACGACAGAGAGACAGAGGTCGATAGAGCTGGCCGTGGTCCCGGTCTAAACCCCTCGCGCCGCGCTTCCCTGAAGAATGGCGGATGGGGAGGGGGGGGGGCGCCGAGGAACGCAGGATA